ATGCCGCAACCCCCAATCGGTCGTTAAGTCGAGGACTACTCAGCCGGTCATAAGTCGAGGACTACTCAACTGGTGCAGCACCGTTTGCAGAATGGGACTTTTGGCGGGCTCAGCAGGGCAGAGACAGCCTAGACAATTCCTATTGGCTTTTGAAAGCCAATAGAATTAGACTCTATTCAAGAGAGTCTATTCTATTGGCTTTCAAAAGCCAATAGAATAAAAGGGCGTAGCACAGCTAAGGAAAAGGGGGGAAAAAATTGCGGACTGCGTCGTTTGGCGACCCCCGTGAAATGGTCGTTCGACCCCAAATGGGGTCCCGACCCACAGGTTGAGAACCACTGGTATAGGGTTTTCTGCCTGAGCAGGGGTTTGCACTAGAGGATCTTTCCAACTCTGTTATTCTGTTTCTGCAGGTATAAATTCTTTCCCACAACTTCAAAGTATCTGAGGGTCAATCTAAAGAAGAAGCCAAATTAACAATTAACAGTTATGCACACTGCTCTGAGAAAAACTTGAAGGCAGATGCAAGGCTCCTGGTAAGGATTGTCCCGCCTCTGTTCAAGATTTCTATGAAGCCATAAGAATTTAGAACAGAATATCATCTATCTGCAATGGCCTCCAGTTGTGTTCCTCGCCTTCAAGGTCAATCAGTTGGTGGCAGACATCTTGAGCTGACATCTGATGATCTAGGACAGCGATGGCGAACCTTTTAGAGACTGAGTGCCCAAACTGCAACCCAAAACCCACTTATGCATCGTTGGGTGCCGGGTGGGTGTGGCCCATTGGGTGGGCGTGGCTGTGATAGTAATGGCAGACTGAGGACTAAAAAGTTTGATTAATCAATTCCAACTTTGCAAGATCTTTTTTTTTCCATGAGAAGTTGAAATTGACTGATTGATTGAACCTCTTGGTTTTTTTGCACACGGCGGAGGAGGCCTAAAGCGAAAAGGTTTTATAAAACTCAGCTGAAGGCCTAGGACTGGAGCGATGGCGCGTGTGCCCACAGAGAGGGCTCTGAGTGCCACCTTTGGCACCCGTGCCATAGGTTCGCCACCACTGATCTAGGACAGTGTTTCTTATCCTTATCAATTTTAACATGGGTGAACTTCAATTCTCAGAATACTCCAGTCAGTCATGCTGGTTAGACAATTGTGGGAGTTGAGGTCCACCAATCTTAAAGTTGCTGGGGTTGAGAAATACCGATCTAGGAGATGAAGGATAATGAGCTGAAATCAACCTAGAACCAAATGCAAAAGCAGATTTCACTGTTTAATCGAACTTCGGAAATAAATGAGGTTTGACAAGGTTGGAGGATTTTTAGCCAGCTTTGTTTACCCGTGAAAACACTCCTTCTGTGGCAACTGAAACATCAGGAATTATTTCAAGATCACCCTGGCCTGCCAGGGGACCTGGAAAGCCGCAAGATAATAAATGGGAAAAATTCCCAAATGGAGAAGGCTGATCTCATAGCCAAATTAGCTTAATCAATTCTTTTTTTGACCACTTGGCATATTCTAAAGTTAGCAATATTTTCCAAGACTGATCTGACCTTTAGAGCCAATTAAATCTAAGGGGTTAAAGGAAGATGCTAGTGCGTCTTGTATGACACATATATCTCTGGTTAACCAGAGTTACTCCTAATTAATCCAATGTTCTGGCCTTGGCAGAAGAATAAAGTAGCCATTTCAACTGAATTGTCCCCCAAACCAACCATATTGATTGGGCAGCTTCAACATTCAACCTGTTACACAAACACAGCCCATCCAAAAGATCTAGCTAAATCCTGTTTTATTTTTTTTTCTTTTAGAGGAAAACATCTCACCTAGTTCCTGCCCTTTTCAATCACAATTAAGACGTGTTACGTCTTCAACTGCAGCAATAAAATGCACAAGAACGGCCATAAACTTATTTCTAGATCAAAACGTGCCAGAGATGTTCCCTGAGCACTTCATGAGACTGGTACAGGGTGAAAGGAGTACTGCAAAAGCAATAAAGTATAAGGGTCACTGGCCTCATATAAATGTTCTTCAGCAAATGTTCTAGGACTGAGGTCCTTGGTTCAGGCAGTCCCTGAGGTCCTTCCTCTTGCTGGGATGAAGTGAAAAACCAGTTCATTCAGGTGTGTCCAAATGGTGAGGTAAAATATGTCAAGATGGTGGCTGAGATGGTATGATCAAAACTCTACCTGTTTTGTTATGTGCGTCACACACACCGTGCACATTTAAAACAGGTGGAGCTTCAATCACACCACTGCAGCCATCAATTTGATTTCTTTGTCCCCACTCTGAGGACACCCTTATGGGAAAGGCCATTTTGGACCAGGAACATTTCCACGTGTTTGGCTAGAACTCCCATTTCTTCACTCATGGGCAAATTATACATCCTGCCACAATAAAAAATGTTTGCTTTTCTTGCTTCAACTTTCATTGATACAAGCTGCCCTTTAGCTTTATGTTTCTTTACCGTAAAAGACAAGCACATTTTTGTTTGATAACTTCTCCCTCCAGTCTTTACTGCCTCTTCTCTGGCTTTCTGAGATGATCAAAGTCAGAATTTCAAAGGAAAACACCAAAACAGATGCCAAGCATTAAAAGTTTGACCATGATTATTTTATGGGTTTCTAAAGGAGAGCATTGAGACTTTCTCGCTCAATATTGACAAGTAACTGAGAGTTAAACTGAAGAGGAAAAAAAAAAGATGTTTTAATAATTTATCTTCTTTTTAAAAAAACGGAGTATGGTTCTTTAAGCACTGGACAGCTTTCATACTCAGCTTGGTCAGGCCAACAATTACTAATTTCCACAAAAACTGATTCATGAACCAGTCAGTCACCTATTAATACCAAACGTCCTGCAAATTTATTGTAAAGAAACAAGGGTGGATACATTCCTTTACTCTGGTACGATAACAAAAATTTGGAATTTGGAAATGAGATGCTAGAGAGGGCCTGTTTTCTCGCTTCTTTTATTGTCCCAGGTTGCAAGAAATGAAGCAAAATATTGGCTAAGATTGGTCTCTGGCAAGATCCCATTGCAAAATATTGCTTCAGATACAAATCCATTTTGTAGCTTCAGATAAAAGCCACCTCTTTCATACAATGAAAGAATAGAATAGAATAGAATAGAATAGAATAGAATAGTGTAGAACAAAAAAATTGTCTCCGGTGCGTAAACAATAAAATAACATAATCATAAGATACCAATAGAAGAAGGTAGTAGGAAAGATGAAAAGTATGATAATAATACAGCCCTACTTCATGGGTAAATATCCTTAGACGTAAGACAGCACTGTGGGGAAAAAACTGTTTTGGCATGCAATGCCCTATAGAGATGTCCCAAGGGGAGAAATTGTCCAGGATGTGAGGGGGTCTGCAAATATTTTCTCAGCCCTCTTTCTGATCCATGCAGTATACAGGTCCTCAATGGAAGGCAGGCTGGTTGCCATTTTTTTTCCTGCAGTCCTAACTCTCTGTTGAAGTCTGTGCCTGTCTGGTTTAGTTGCTGTGCCAAACCAGACAGTTGTAGAGGTACAAATGACAGACTCAACAATTCCTCTGTAGAACTGTTAAGGTTCTAGAAATGTTAAAGTATTAATTCTGGCTCATCTCACAAATCTAGGGAAAGATTAGGAATGTGTGTAAAATGAAATGGGGAAAAGGTCAATAGGGCTTAACGCCTGGTGGATATTGTTTTCTCGTGGTTTTCCTTCCATTTGATGAAAAGGCATTTGTTTTAGAAATTATTTCAAAGAGACAAGAACGTCAGCGAAATCCTCCCCAAGACGCTGCAACTGCGCTTATATTTATTGATCTGTTAGATTTTGAGTCGATGTGTCTTCCTGGAGCTCAAGACCACATACAAAATATTTTCTATCTCCTTTCAATTGTTCCCAAATGTACAGTGAGATATTTTGCCCTTACCTTGCAATAATCCTTTGCCCTTTCGTAGATGCAGAATGTTTTTTTCCATCTCCTCCGCTCGTGAAAAAGCCCGTCTTAAGAATTTGAACTAGGGCTGTCAACCGATTGCAGGATTGTTGTTTGTTTTTTTAAAAAGATACAATTAATGTGTGAGTAATCCTTGACTTATGATAATTGAGCCCAAAATTTCTGTTGTGAAGCAAGACAGTTAAGTCGGGTTTTGCCCCATTTTATGATTTTTCTTGACACTGTTAAGTGAATTGCTACGGTTCATGGTTCTTATGATCCAAATTCTGATTATGTGACCATGGGGATGCTGCAACGGTTGTTAAGTGTGAAAACAGTCATATGTCGTTTTTTTCCAGGGCTGTTATAGGTTCAGATGGCCATTAAATAAAATGATTGTATGTCAAAGGACTCCCTATTTAGGATCTAAGCATTATATATCCTGGCCAGGCCTGCCTGCCTTGGCTCCATGAAAGTTTCACTCAGTAGTACCGATCAGGATTGAGTTTACACACTGCGTTTGATATATTTTGTTTAATAGTGGCATAGGCAATCACTGTTGCATAACTATGGTGAGTTCATACAAGACAGTTAACTCAGAAGGAAATAACCTTTAGAGCATAAGGCACAGCATATAAGGGATCCTTGATGCTTTCTGAGTTTGGTTATTTTCTTGCAGACGTTTCATTACCCAAATTAGTAACATCATCAGTGCTAGTGGATATTTCACTGGATAATGAAATGTCTGCAAGGAAACAAAAACCTCTCATTTCAACCCTGAGCTACATACATTCTCCTTTGTTGGCATCGCATGTGATATGAACCAGCAGTTGATTAGGCCTTTAGGAAACTGAGAAGCACCTTACTCTTCTGAGATCTAAACCACCACTTGGAGAATACTGGATTGACCTTTAATAACAGAAATGGTGGTTATCTCTACACTCAATTACTCCTGTTGCTGGTAGTCACAATCGGGCAGGCTCTCTTGCAAACATCCCATTTATCTCCACTCCCTGTTTAGTTTCCATGTCACCCTATTAGCAAATAAATATAAGAAAAGCTTCCATGCCAGAGATGGCATATGTATGCAACCATACAGTGTTTATTTGGTTAGTTCATTAACCATCTGTAAGACAGTTCAGTTTTGGTCTGCATCCTTCTATAAAAGAGTTCAAGTTTTCAAGAAACCTCCAATACATACAGCAAAGTAAAATGACAGCACACATTTCAGACCAAAATACAATATTTTTTTTTCTTACATTTTATAAAACCCGGTCAATTCAAACTACATTAAAAAAAAAAAAAGCTAACAGACTTTCACGTATCCTTAATACAATATTTTGCCAGAGTTTGCACTGTGGCCACAAAGCCTGTAGAGCACAATCCATGTGCTTTAAATTAAAACAAACATAAACACCCTTTTACGTACCCAACGTTATATCGAACATGTAAACAAAGTACTACTTAATCCAAGAACCATTTTTGTACTCAGTTTTGTAACATGTAAACTTCAAAAGTACACCAGTGAGAAAAGAAAAGAGTTGTTAAACTGGCAACATTTTCCACGAAAAAAACAGGCAGGCAGGCAGGCTTAAGGCATGATAAAGTATTCTAAAGCACTATAAAGTCACATAAATTGAGTGTGATCTGACAGTTTGAACAGGCCAATTTGGACACAAGAGTTCAATGATCTTCTATGAGTGAAGACAGACTCATATCTTTGGAGTGCATATATATATTAGAGAGGATACTTCTTCTCTTCAATAATTCTCACAATGGGGAGGTATCAATGTGGTGAATGTACGAAATTTCTAACTCCAAATTCTTGGACCAATTCGCTTATCCATTTGTTTCGCAGCTTCATTTTTTTTAAGTGAAATGAAAGAAAGCATATATGTGGCTGAGGAGAGTCTATCTTTACTCTTCCTGTGAAGTTGAAAGATGGTATTAGGCAATTTCCTCTGTGCTGTCAATCATACAATTGACTGCCCTTAGATTTATTACCTTGTACGTGTCCACAGAGGCCGCTGGACCCTAAGCCATTGCTTGCCCAATGAATACATAAAAGTTCAAGGTGATTTCTCAGAGTTCGCCCCCCCTTTTAAATTAACAACCATTATTAAACACTTGGAAAAGAAATACACATAGCACTGAGAACACAATTTAATATATAGTAATATCGTTTGTTTTATTGCAAAGCTCAGTTTTCATTCGTCCATCACAAAGTGCTACTCAAACTGCACCTTTTTTCTTCTTCAAATACAACCACAGAAGTTAGCATGCACGGCATTCAAACAAGCTCCTTAACCATTCCTAAAAATCAAAATCTATGCAAACTAGGAAGGGATTCAGGATCCCTCAAAGCTAGAACACAGAAAAACAAGTATACTACACATCAAATATTGATTTGTTCAGATGCCATAAATGGGAGTCAAAGAGACCTGTGTTTCTGTAACACAAAAAATCACAAAAAACACATGGGGGATTGGAGGTGGGAAATACTCTAGGTATGGGAAGAAAAAAAAATAAATGTACAAGAATAGCACACATTGAAACTTAAAGTGCAAAGGATAAACAATAAATAGAAAAAGGGAAGGAAACAACATTGCCGCTTTCTACCAACGGGTTTGATGAAATGTATTTTCACACGTTTTTGTATACAGATGTTTCCCAAGTCCAACACTTGGGTATCTTTAATTTAAAAATGAAAGATTGGAAAATTTGGGGAAAGCTTCAACCTGAATCTTAGGAAAGCATGGATAGTCAAAATAGACGTATCATACCTTCCAACTCAGGATTCACTTCAAGTAACACAATTTCCTGCTGACATGGTTAGGAGTTAGCTTGGACTGATGTCTTGGCGACATCTGTTTGATGTTATAAATGGGCTTAAAAGGATGGAGACAGATCAGTTGGTTTCATTTATTTGATTTTGGGTGCTGCCTGATTCCAACTGACTCGGGGTACCCTCACCACATAGAACATAAAAATTAACCCCCCCCAAAATGACAAAACAGTACATGTTGAGCTCTCTTAAGGTAAAATATGACATTTGAACAAATTCAGCTGACCGAGTTTATAATGCAAAAGCGACTTTGGAGGTCTAGTACAACTTACCATGTTGCGTATGTTTTACAGAAGACTGTGAATACAAGGGTGGTATTATTATTATTATTATTATTATTATTATTATTGGCAATCTACAGGTCTTAGCACTGTGAACTCTCTCATGGCACTGCGTAAGTAATTTAAGGTAAATTTGCACTGTGTGTTTTAAATCACATTTGAATCTGATTCCTATGTTCTGATTATCTGGCTTCCAATTTCAGTACCTAGTAGAATTCACAAACTCACTTAAATTGTGCACAAATTAACAGATGATATGTACAGCATATGTGGTATTTTTTTTAACACCTAGTGTACTATTTCTGATTCTATTTCTGATTCCCATATCATTAATGATTCTGGATATTTCATGTTAGCCATTAAAATAACAATCAGAACAACATCTACTACTACTACTACACAAACAGGAGAGATAAAGTCTTCTAAAATTCAGCAGTTCAACTGTAAAACTTCCAATGGGTGGAAAGTGTAGATTCCCACGAAGATGAGTCAGAGATCAAACAATAAGGAATGCTTTCTTTTGAAGATTGCTAAGGCTATGAATCTCTCTTTCCCAACATCTTACGCTAGAAGCCCGATGCTATTAATTCTCCAGAACTGATGAGTGAAGGGCTTGACCCCAACATGCAGAGATCCAGGCAAAGCTCACAGCATTGGAAAATAGTTGTGTTTCCCCTCTTCTTTTTTCGCCCATTATACCTGCATGGGTCTAGCCGAAGAGCGTTATTATTTTTTGAAAAACACACATATAAAGGCTGAGGTACAAAATCCTCTGAAATTATACCGCTACGCCATGCTAATCGATATTCTGTGCTTCCCGTAGAAAGGCCCCTTGGAGAAAGTATAAAAATTGTATGTTTCCTTAAATATACTTGTGATTCTATTAATAAACACTGTGGTTATGTTGGAAGTATAAGAAACGCCTAATTACACCTTCTGGCCTGGCCCACACCTCAACAAGTCAATACAATGCTTAAAATCTAGCCCTGAATCCATTTCGCGTTTAATTAAAACAACAACAACAACCAACACTTCCTAAAAAGATGGCTGTGAGCACAATTCACATCAGGTGTGTTTGAGCCCCATTAAAAGCAGTTATCGACATAACCTAGTCAAAAGCAGCAAATCCCCCTCCCCCCATTTATTTGGACAAACCAGAGATGCGTACACGTTTCTCCAGATGCAGTTTTTAATGTAAGAAAGAACTGAGATCACAAGAGAAGGATGAATTTCACCGCTGCTATGTGGAAAAACCAGTTAACATGACCAACAGCATGGAAGACTGACCCAAAAGTTATGGAGGAAGCAAATTGACCAGAACTTTTTGTACACAGAAAAAGACTAGCCTGTCTCTCTTCCCCCCCCCCCCCAACTAGTTTTAACCCTTTTAGGCCATGATAGCTTAAATCAGGAGTCTCCAAACTTGCCAACTTTAAGACTTTGTTTCTGGGAACTGAAATCCACAAGTTGCCAAAATGGGAGACCTCTGGCCTAAATAAATAAAAATTAACTCCCTTTGAAGACTGGGTCTTTTGATCAGGTGCTGGAGTTTGACAATAAGCAGCAAGAAATAAATGGAACAAGGCAAGCGCCACTGACTGCTTTCGTATGCGCACAGAGCAGGGGTCTTCAAACTTGGCAACTTTAAGACTTGTGGACTTCAACTCCCAGAATTCTGAGAGTTGAAGTCCACAAGTCTTAAGTTGCCAAGTTTGAAGACCCCTGGCATAGAGAGTTGGCCAACTAGCGCAAGGAGTCAAGAGAGGATGCGGAGGCTTTGGCCTCTCACCTATGTAGACCTTTCCCGAACAACACCCTGTGCCCAGTTGCATAGTTGTGGAGGCAAACAGTGAGCTCATCAAGGCAGCTGCAAAGGCATTGATCAGTGACTCACTCCTCTGTGGCAGAATAAATATTCTTGCAATCGCTTTCCGTAGTGCAGGGGTCTACAGCCTTGACAACTTTAAGACTTGTGGACTTCAGTTCCCAGAATTCCTCAGCCAAAGACAGGCGTTTTGAATTCAAAGGAGTATCTAAATTTACCAAGCAGCTTCACACAGGACAGAATAGCCATATCTTTATGCATTAATAAAACTAAATGTCAGAAACATCATTGCGAATATTTCTTCTTCTTTCAGAAAAAGTATGTGGAATCATAAATACTGTAAGCAAAGTTTAACTGTATAATTGCTATATAAAAAAGCTATAAAAATGAATTGTTATATACAAAAAAGGTTTAGAGTGGAAAGTAAGCAAAATAAGCTTAACCTGGAGAACAAGAAAAAAAAAAGAGGGGAAGGGAACCTCCCTCTAGAAAACAGGAAACAACAATTAAAACCCCACCACACAGACAAAAATTATACATATACAGGTGCCAATTTAAAGAACAATGTGTGCACATAGAATTATACCCCAGACTAGTAACAATACTTTCTTTTTTCCCCCCATTGTTGAATCACATTTTCCAACAATGAATTATAACACACAGGGCACCCATGCCTTCATGGGTAGTGACAAACACAAGAGCAAACATTCTCCTATGGAACAAACCAGTATTTGTGATATAGTCCAGAAACCATTGCTTTGGAAACAAACAAAAACAACAACAGGAATAGGATCCAATTTGGTTTTTTAACAAGTGATGCTAAGACAGCAAGCAAATTACAGGGTTAAAAAACAAAACAAAAAAACCCCAAAGTGCCAGTTAATGAAATGTGGAGATACCACAAAGAGGATTAAAGACGCCAAAATAAAATATAATTCCGTGTTAACTTTTACAATCCTTAACTGCTGGCCATGCCACTTCAACTAAAAACAGAGGGAGAAGCAACCTGGTAACCAACCGGCTAGTAAGTGTTAATATTCAAACAACCTACAGCTAATATTTTCAAACTGAATGGAGAAAATTTAATATGTAAAAAAAAAGCACCTTTAAGAATAAAAGATCAAGGTTCTTGGGATCAAGTAAAACAAAACTCGACTAATTATACTAAATACAGTGAGCAGAAATTTAGCATTGCATCCGTGCTGATCATTATTCTTGTCCTGAAAAGCAAAAGCTATAAATTTCCTCTTTAATCAGCAGGCTATTTTTTTTTTTGGGTCATTCTTTTTTTGCCATAGTTAACTGTTCAAATTCAAGAAAAAAAAAAAAACCCTCATGGGTCATTTACACTGTTATAGCTGAGACGAAACCCTTGCTGTATTTTGTTTTTCTGTTCGCTAAAATTTACTTTCCTGACTAATTAGGTCCTTCGGACTTTGTAGAAAATTTAAATTCCACAGAGAACTGGTTTTATCAAGATGTCATTCTTTACAACACGATTTTCCATTTTGGTTCAAGCTATATCCTCAGGCTTACAGCATAGTTACCACAACATTAGTAATATTACAAGTGGTGGACCGATACCTATTATTACTTATAGCTTGTAACTACTTAAAAGCAAAAAAAAAAAAAAAAAAAAAACATCTTAGAGTGAGCTGTGAACCTTTAGTGAGAACATAAAAATAGAAGCTATATTTTATATTTATAATCAGTTTCAAATCAACTGATCATTTAATGTGTAATTTTCTTTCTCTAAAAGGGTTATACGCTAAAGACTGCAGGATAGAATTAGCATCCAGCTGACCTGGGACAAATTAAAATAATAGTCAATAGGTCATTTCTTGTTTTCCTACTTTCTTTTCAAACTTTTTACCGTATTTCATTAGTTGGTAGACAATTCTCTCTGATCCAATAGGCAGCAGATGGCAATGATAAACATGGGCTTTAACAATTAAAAAGAATTTCTAATACATTTATCTGCTTTATATTCAGCTCTTTATCTCCACTGACATGAGGAACCTTTTCGACTCAAGTCATATTAGGCACTTGGGGTGGTTTAATTAATTCTAACTTATTTTCTTTATCATACAGTAAATGACAAGACTTACAACCAAAAAAACCCTAACCTCAAAGAAATTTCAAACATTCTCTACCACCTTATTCTGCCGTAGCAGAACTTGGTAGCTCATAGACTGTTTAACTGAGCGGAAATTATGAAGAACTCAAGGTGCTAAATTGGGAATAAACAATTAACTGATGGATACTAGAATCATTCAGGGAAAAACAAAGAGAAAAACAAGCAACATTAGCTTGGTTTCGTCAGTTTCGCATTCAGAATACTGTACAGTAGCATATGCTCGTGACCTTCATAAATGAGAACAGAATTTGATAAATTCAGATTTTAAAACCAGAATAACAGACAAACTAAGGAAAATCTTCTCAGTTGTGGGTCAACAGAGGGGCCTTCAAAACTATCCTTCCACAGGTAGAGAGGTGGCTACTGTCCATTCAAAGACTACTGCAGAAACATCAGAAAAATGCAGTTTTTCCAAACTTAGCCACAATGCTCTCAAAGTATGGTGAAAACGGAGACAGGAAAACTAATAAAAGATACATGTGGGTTATAACATACCAACTGCATCTGATCAACAACTCTGGTGTCCTTAGGGCTAAAGAGTTTCTCAGCCTGAGACTGAACCATCTATTAATCGAATAAAATAGATTAATACAATAAGCAATATATATCGACAGCTGGCATTCTGGGATGTTGTTCTCTGCCACCATTTGTAATAGGAACTGCATACAATTCCTAAGAACCAGGCCAGCCAATTACTCATTACCAAGTATGAATAGGTGCATGTGTGGATGCAATCTTTCCGAAGCCCTATGCTGTTGGCTTGCCCTAGAGCAGGGGTCTTCAAACTTGGCCCTTTTATGACTTATGAACCTCAACTCCCAGAATGTGGGAGTTGAAGCCCACAAGTCATAAAAGGGCCAAGTTTGAAGACCCCTGCCCTAGAGCCTGTTGAAATAAAAAGGAACAATTTTGACTCATGGTTCATTTCCAAGGATGGCACTATTATCGCAAAGGGACAGGACTGCCCAGGTAGTGAGGTTGTCCAAAGCCATTTTAGAGTCAAAATTCAGACAAATGAGAAGAACTTGCATGGCTGTCATTTAAACAGTTTTTACGGTAGACCTCATTATTGTAAAATCCCTGCATTTTAACTGATGAGTTTAGCAGCACCTGTGTTAAAGAACAGCAAAAAGTTGGCACTCGCTGCAAGTTTTTGTAGTGCATTGTGTGTGACAGACATCAGCTCTGTGATTTTGAAAACTATTGAGGTAACTATGGAAGAGAGAAGATACAATACATAAGCAAGTCTTCACATTTGCATCTTTGGATGCTGTTTTAATCATTCAGAGCTAAAACACGCATAATATGAGGAATGGAGTGTATTTGTCACCACCGTTAATGCTTGTTTTTAAAAAACAAAATGAATGTTTGACTATCGTAAACCAGACATTCAGAGCCAATTTCAATATGCCTGGTTAATCTTCCCAAACTCTAAAATGCAATTTGCCAAAGGCGGACAAATAGTTGTGACTTGTGTTGTAAAATATGTGAATCATAATACACTCTGAGAAAAAAACAAAACGAACAGCCGCTATCCATGCTACTAGCGGTAGCCTAGGCATATGACTACTTGCAAAATTTCAGGATGTGGGAATAATATTCTGAGCTAAACACAATGGAACTTTTTTTTTTAAAAAAAGAACCAACACCCCCCCTCCCAAAAAACCAGGACTTTTAAAGACTAAAAATAAACACAGCAAACATGTATACAATAATATTGGGAGGGAAAACCTTCTTTCGTGCTTTTCTTCTTGAATTACTTCTCCCCAGCAGAAACACAGATCCAGGACTGATGGGGGGGGGAGAGAAATTGCTTCCTTTTAAATCATCATGAAACCCTGCTATGTAAAAATGAAGCAGCAGCAACTTGATTTTAAGATGCAAGATTGACCGGCTTGATGTCTAAGTTTGGCTTCAAGACTTCAAGTCAGGAAAATATTCTACAGGCTGATGGGAATCCTACTGAATCACGGCACAACTTTTATGAATGAAAATCTTAGCCAAGGCCAGCAAATGAATCATATTAACTGAATGTATTTATCCACTAGAATTTCCTTTATGAAAAGCTTTTTAGTTCCTAGAAAGGCACCAATTTGTTTTGAGAGGCCATTTACTCTCGTAAGTAACTGTCAGTCATATTTTAATTGCCCAATCAGCCCTCTATACCCCTTAATGCAATGCTATTATTAAGTGACGTTACTGCAGCTTAGGCATTGTAAATTACCTCGCATTCAAAAACTCAAAAGTTGCTTCTAGAGAAAAAGAAAGAAAAAACAACAACACCGTAATTGCATATCTCCTTACTATACTTGTTTGGTTCGCAAGGAACTTGTCATTAATATCTTGAAATGAAATTAACCCCAAGCCCTTTGATTCTCAAGGAAAACCAAGAAAAGATCCTTCCTAACATCCTTCAGTTCAAAAGTACGGAGTCTTGCTTCTGAAGATGGTGGTCTAGCATTTTATAGGCACACCTAGGCAACAATCACTAACCAAGAATTAGGAGAGAGCTTGTAAGGGAGAAGATAAGAGGGATTTGAGTCAAAAGGAATCAGTGTGCTTTTGCTGAGGACTTCCAACAGAGAGGAGACAATAAAAACAAAAACAAACCTTAAAAAACGGCAGAGTTGAAAACACACATTTCCCGTTCAAAAAGAGAAACTGCCAATAAAAAGGAGACAGAACACCGCATGGGTGATCACCAACATTCAGCGCATTTCACCAAACTAAGCAGGTGACAAGTTGCGTCTCCTTTTCTTATTTATTTTATGCTTTCCAATCCATTATTCTTATTTTGCTCCCGTTGGAATGGAGCCGTACTGGAAGGAATCCCAAGAAAAGACAATTAACGAAGAAATGGATTGTTCTCTAGGTTTCGGATAGTAGAAGATCAAGAGATAAAAGAGAATATTGGCAGCTCAGGGTTGACACGAGGGGTCCTGGGTGCTCTTGGAGCTTAGTGGTTTTCTTGCAGATGTTTCATGACCCAACTAAGTAAGATCATCTCAAGTTATATTCTGGTGGCTTGACCTGTCAAGTGTTGGTGAGGGTGATCTTAGAGATTCTTTGGTTGGGCTGTTTTCTGTTAGCTTGCTTGGCAGATCTTTGATTGGGGTATTGTTTACTTCAATTGTTTAGATCACTAGAGCCAGAAGCAACTCAAGGAAGGCCTTGATGAGTGTCCTTTGCATTAAATTGCCAGGCAAAGCGGGTGGGGATTGTCAGGAGGGGAAATAGTGGACTAGGAAGAAAAAGACCCCTCTTCCACTAAGATACAGAGAACCATTAGAAGACTTTGAGGATAGGGGAGTCCAACTGTGGCAACTTTAAGACGTGTGGACTTCAACTCCCAGAATTCCCCAGCACGAGTCTTAAAGTTGCCAAGGTTGGACTCCCCTGCTTTAGAAGATGGCGTGCTCCAAGCTGCATCTTCTCAAACCTTCCAAAATATTTCTGACGTTAAAACAAAACCAAAACAGAACTTGGAACAATATTTGCAGCCACTGTGACCTAAACGTGTATCCTTTCTCTAAACATTGCATGAATGGACTTTCTGAAGGAAGAACAAAATTAAGCTAACACATGGAGAGCGTGACAAGCATGTGCTTCTGATGTGAAAACAAGCCCTCAACAATTTGAATGGTTATAGATCTGTGAGTAGACCTACGAAGGAATGCATAGCAGATCGCGTCTCGCCACAGAAGCAAACTTTAAAATGGGCATAGGATTTGATTTTGACCCTCGATATTATTGTTTTACTGTTATGTACCGATTACAGCCTGTCAAAATATGGACTTTCTGAGATCAGGTGGAGAAAGGTCCACAATGTGGAGGTCAACGTTCCTTCTCCAGAATGTGGAGGAACGGGGACCCCAACCTTCTGCCATGAAGGATGGGAGCTGCATTTCAGGAACATCTGGCACCCCAAGATGTGCTCTAAGACATCCACAGAAAAATTCCATTGGAATTTCACATTACTGTAAACCAGGAGTCTTCGAACTTGGCCCTTTTATGACTTGTGAATTTCAACCCCCAGAATTCCTCAGCCAGCATGCCTGGCTGAGGAATTCTGGGAGTTGAAGTCCACAAGTCATAAAAGGGCCAAGTTGGAAGACCCCTGCTGTAAACATCTGGCCCAATAATATGCATTACTGAGCACACATGTACAACGAAAAACGATGTTGCAACAATGCCATTCCAGAATCTGAAGAGCAAGACCATGGAACATTTCAATGGTGTGACCTCCCCCCCCCTTTTTTGCTTTTAAATTATAGAGCTTCATTAACAGTGTAATAAAATAATGCTTAAGTAGAAAGGTAAACAGTATTGTCCCTAGAAAATGATCTATATTCTAATTAAATATTAATATTTATGATCCAAAAAATAAACTTATAAAATGGAAAATGGAAAATAAAAATAAAACCTTCACTGTAGTAGTATTAACAAGATTCAGCACAATTTTCTTAGAAAGAGGTAATTTTTTTACACCGACGTTTGATCCCCATATAATTCTCCAGACAGTGTCTGAAATGCATTAATAATTTCACCGACCCCTCTCCCACTTTAAAAGAAGATTTAAAATTAAAAAAAGTTCTTCTGCTTTTCATCCGTAACACAACCGTTTAGGAATATATCTTTTTTTTTTTTTTTTACTCCCGGAAACTTGCAGCATCTTTTATTCGTAACGTTTGGAAATATTCTCCTTGTGTTATCGCTCTTCCGATCCCCGAGCCCCACCCAAAATATGTGCTACCTGCCCCATTCGTAATAATGTATGGCACTTCTGAAATTCATCACCACTCATCTCGTTATTTGAGATCCGTTCCTGAGATCCACCATAAATATTACAAGATCTATGTAATAGCATTTAGTTCCCGGTACAACACTTAGCTTGGTTTAGAGTTTAGTCCATTCTGTTAAAAAAAAAAATCCTAGTAATAAAAAAAAAAGTGTGAACAATGGCTTACGTGTCGTTCTGTCCTTTCAGGCAGAGGCCTCCAAATTGCAAAGTTAAGCTGTCAAATAAAAGTTCACTTGCCCATTTTCCTCCCAGCGGAGCTAAAAGTGTCTTTTGGCATCACAGAGATTGATTTTCATTCAGTGTATTGCGTGCCAGCCATACTTTTCTAGGTTAGTACAATGTTGCTACTCACAACCATTCCCCCTCGGTGAAAACACATCCTGCAGTTGCTGCCCCATTTCCACAGGTTTTCTTTTTACACTATTCTTCTTCGTTGGGAGCAAAGGAACAGCTCCAGCCGCGTGGCTCAACCTCTGTAAATAACTGGACCGCTTGCTGACTCCCGTTTTTCCACAACGAGCCCCTCGCAACGGGCCGAGGCTTTAAAGCATTTGAGCAATTAAAAGAAAAGTTAGAACGGTTATCATACCAATGCTGAGTGTACTGTTTAGATTTCTGCTGCAAGATGTTTTGCTTCTCCGTGATAGAAAGCGAGATCATTACAAGGGACTTTCTCTAACGCTCTTCCCGGCTGCTTGCGTGAAGGACGGTCAAGGAGAAGGGACGCGGGCGCGGAGGGAGAGGAGCAACCCTTGCTGAAGTTGGAGGCGGAAGAGTTTGCAATTGGCTATGCGCAAAGCTGCGCATCCGGTGTGGCGAAGGTAGGACGGGAAGAGAGGTTTCGTAGGGTGCCACGTCCCGGTGCTTCTTCGGAATTCTCGAACGTAATCGTAACTGGTACCTATCAAACGACAGGGTTAGTTTGGGAAAGTCAACAGCCTCAAAGCCGCTTTGAAAACGAGAAGCCGAACCGAATTCAACAGCAAGGCATTCAGGAAAGAAGCGCTTGACATCGTTTAGAAAAGTCAACCATAGATGTAGATAAAGATGAAAGTCACATTGCTGAACACTTTAAAGCAGCTGTGTGGTTTTTTTTTTATTTGCATAGCTTATTAATTAATTAATTAATTAGCCCTTGGCCATATCAAAGTGCAAAGTTCCAGAAACAAAATTTGATAAAAGCAATTTAAAATGGAGTTAGATAAAATACAGTTTTAAAACGAAATTGGAATACAATAAAATAAAACTGGGATAACATGCAGTCTAAAATGAAATTGGAATAGAATACATATAAACCACAATGGGTGTGTTACCATGCTGCCCTTAGCCCAAAACAGGTGACTGACATTGTGGTTCACTGTAACGCAGTGTTTCTCAACCTTGACAATTTTAAGGCATGTGGACTTCAACTCCCAGAATTCTGTGGAATTCTGTCAATCTGTAAAATTGTCAAGGTTGAGAAACACTGCTTGTAACGTGTCAAATAAAAATATGTCAACTTGTTTGTAAAGGGGGGATATTTAACATGATATAAATAAATAAATCAATGTAGCTTTCCAAAAGACGCTTAGGTGGAGTAATTGGTGTAGTAACGGCCTACTTGGGACTGAGGATACATTTGCAGCTTGATTACAGAAGAGAAATCTACATTTTTAAACAAGAAACTGTGTTTCATGCATCCAGCAAGGTTACTAAACTACAAGATGCGAAGGCCCTTGAAAGCCCACCCCCCCCGCCTTTTAATTCTGAATTTTAACATTTGATTCTTGTCTGATAAGCCTAACTTGCAGCAATGCGACGTATGATTAAAAATACAACAATCCTGTTACCGGTTTTGCCACTGACCTGTGTCCAGATCCCCGATCACATATATGCTGGCCCCAATGGGCACAGCTCCATACACAAATGAGGAACTGGCTGGGATGCATAAATTCTGATCGCTCAGATAGATCCACCTGCAGAGAGAGGCAACAATTGGAAATGCGTGCAATAATTGGCAGTGCCTAAAGGAAGGCTTAAAAAGAACGAATCTGTTTGCAAGTTGCTCACAGGGTGCACTAAAACTCTTTCGAAGGATTTTTTTAAACCGATGCTACACTTCACACCAAGGTGAATATCTGCTGGAAAACTTTCTCAAAACTTTCTCAAATAGAATCCTTTGTTGCAGGCAAGTCAGCAACAGGTGGATACGGCTTTTATAGAATGTGCAGCCGAAAGCGCCAGAAATAGATTACACACTTCCTGTTTTGCTGCGCTTTATCTAATAGCCGCCAACATTCATATGCTGGGTGAATCAGTGACAGAATGCAAGTTCTCCACCCTCTCCCTTCTGATCAAACTATTTCAGGAAGCATCTCGGGAAAATATGTCTAGCTTGAATCTCAAAGAATCGCCGTCAGGTACAATAAACAGGGCTAGACCCAGCTCAGCAGCAAGCAGAAAGGCGGTTTAATACAAGGTTGTTTTGCATTTGGCACCATCACTTTCTCTGCTTTCATTATTTTCTTACCTTCGGCTTACGATCCACATTTGAGTCCAAAGTTATCCCTGCTAAGCGAGGCAGTTATGCAAGTTTTGCCCCCATTTTATGGCAAAAATTGGCACAGTTGGTAAGTGAACTATGCTGTTATTAAGCTTCTGCCCACCCCTCTACCCCCACTGACTCTGCCTGTCGGAAGCTGGCTGGGAATGGTGATCAGGTGATCCCAGGACAGTGCAACCGTCATAAGTACACGCCTGTTGCCAAGCGTCCAAATTTTGACCTTCCCGAATTTCAACTCTGAATGGCCATTAAATGAATGACTGTAAGTTGACGACTATCTGTATCTACAGAGCCTGAACAAGATGCTTTGGAAGAACAGAACATTCATCCAATCATGAGACAGGATGGCCTCACCACTTCAGGCAGAGAATTTAGATCATCATCAGATGATTGAAAATCAATATTTGCTGCTGCTACATATTTTATGGGAAGCAGTCCTTGTGGCACTGTCTGTTTGCCTCTGGTAAATACCTGCTCTTGACCTGAGAATTTCAGCCCTGAATGGTGGAAACTTGCAAGGGGTACAATTCCCTACTCCCTCAATTTCAGGCAGCAAAGTATCCTGCACCGACTCTTCAATACTCCAATTTGAGAACCAGAAAAGGTATAGTAACAGTGCAGGCTTAAGGAGTTACACATCAAAAAAAAAAAAAAGTTTGGAATGCAACTACTGTACAGAGAAGCACAAGAGTCACAACCCAAAAGTCGACTGAGTGATCCGTGGTAATCAAGAGAAATAGATCCCTTCTAATAAGCTAGTAGCCATTTCCTGAAATTGACGCAGCCTCTTTTGCAGTAGGAGAGCGCCCTCTTCTGGTGAACAGCAATAAAAGACATATTGCATTGCAGACAAAGGAAGTCCTCGACTTAAGGACCCCAACGTTTCTGTGGTTAAGTGAGACATTCATTAAGTGAGCTTTGCCTCATTTTACGACCTTCCTTGCTGCAATTGTTAAGCTGGTGACTGAATCTGGCTTCCCCATTGGCTCTGCCTGTCAGAAGGCTGCAAAAGGGGATCTCGTGGATCTATCTATCTATCTATCTATCTATCTATCTATCTATCTATCTATCTATCTATCTATCTAATCTATCTATTTATCATCTATCTATCTACTGAATCTATCTATCTATCAACTGAATCTATCTATCTATCTATCTATCTATCTATCTATCATCTATCTATCTACTGAATCTATTTACTGAATCTATCTATCTACTGAATCTATCTATCTATCTATCTATCTATCATCTATCTACTGAATCTATCATCTGTCTGTCTGTCTATCTATCTATCTATCTAATCTATCTATTTATCATCTATCTATCTACTGAATCTATCTATCATCTATCTATCTACTGAATCTATCTATCTATCATCTATCTATCATCTATCATCTATCTATCTACTGAATCTATCTATCTACTGAATCTATCTATCTATCTACTGAATCTATCTATCTATCTATCTATCTATCTATCATCTATCTACTGAATCTATCATCTGTCTGTCTATCTATCTATCTATCTATCTAATCTATCTATCTATCATCTATCTATCTACTGAATCTATCTATCTATCTATCATCTATCTATCATCTATCTATCTATCATCTATTTATCTATCTATCTACTGAATCTATCTACTGAATCTATCTATCTATCTACTGAATCTATCTATCTATCTATCTATCTATCTATCTATCTATCTATCTATCTATCTATCTATCATCTATCTACTGAATCTATCATCTGTCTATCTATCTATCTATCTATCTATCTATCTATCTATCTATCTATCTATCTATCTATCTATCTATCTCCAACTATTTATCTGCAGATTACTTTTCTTTTATATTTCATTTTAATTAACTGTGATTTCTGTATTCTACACGCTGGTCTACAACCGAATAAAGATTTGATTGATTGATGCTTCAGCGAAAGATGCTTTGCTTGCACTTAACATGTTCTGGGAAGCTACTGAAAGTTAAGTATTGGAAACCGTGCCATTTATAAATCACTGTAGATTCAGATCAAAAATCAAGCCGGTTATATTAATACTCCTACCACTTTCTTTCTACGAGGGCAGGTTGCACTCAAATGTTCCGATGCCGCAAGAGGCATTTCCTTTGAAGGGAAAGAGCTTTAGCAATTATTTGCTTCCCCTGCCAAAGGCCCAAGATCTCAAGCCAACTGAAGAGACCAAGTGACAAGGCTGAGAAGGATTATCTGCAGAGATAATCAATCAAAGGCGACTTTGTTGGCTGGAGGGAGAGCAAGCGACAATTCTCCAGGTTCAGCTCTTTTAAATGCTCTTCGATGAAGTTGCCAAGGAGCAAACAAGGCAACAGCCAACCGCGTATAGAGTTGAAGAGATTGTGTTACGTAGCAAAAGAGTTACCTTTTGAATTCATCATGGTAGAATTCAGATTTGCACGTCACCATCTCGCTGGTTTGGTTATCCTCGCGGCTTCTTACTCCGCCAAAGACGTAGAGCTCTGAAGCCACGCCACACGCCACAGCCCCAAACCTGGAAAAAGATGAGACCTGTAAGCATGTACACATTAACTCAGTGCTCAGGTTACTTAACCCCTTCCCATGTTTCACCCAACCTCAACCAGGGTTTGGTAGGAACATTTCCTGAGCACAAGCTGCTGCCTTGTCATTCCTGTCTCTTACTCTCCTGCACAGCTAAGGCGAAGTCTGAAGAGTAAGAATCCTTTGCTTACGGGGATGCTAGTTCAGCAGCGTCTAACTTTATTTGCTAAGTTTTTAGAGCTGACCATCTCACAAAGGATTTTGATAATGATAATAAAGTGGGAAGGGACCTTGGAGGTCATCTAGTCCAACCCCCTGCTCAGGCAGGAAACCCTATACCATTTCGGACAAATAGCTGTCCAGTCTCTTCTTAAAAACTTCCAGTGTTGGAGCATTCACCGCTTCTGGAGGCAGGTTGTTCCACTGGTTAATTGTTCTCACTGTCACTAAGTTTCTCCTTAGTTCTAGGTTGCTTCTCTCCTTGATGAGTTTCCATCCGTTGCTTCTTGTCCTGCCTTCAGGCGCTTTGGAGAATAGCTTGACTCCCTCTTCTTTGGGGCAGCCCCTGGGATACTGGAAGACTGCTATCATGCCCCCCCCCCCATCTTTCTCTTCATTAAACTAAACATACCCAATTCTAGCGACCGTTCCTTATAGTCTATGCAAACTCACTAAGCTGGTTAACCAGTCTTTTTTATGGCCATACCTAGTAACCTGGGCAGTGAATCTTAATAACCTACTAACCTCCTCTCTTTCAGTGGGCAGATGGCCGTCCACTGCTGAGTCCTCGGGTCATAACATTCCACGGACTCAAAAAGCTTCCCATAGGAACCACCTCCCATTGCATAGATCTTCTTTTTCATAGCTGCGTAGCAACCGATCTTAACAAGGAGAATGCAAAACGTCTGTTACACAGAGCAGGGTGTGAGTCAACCCGCCACAAGGACCCAACAAAAAGCAGTAACACAACAGTAATACAAATAATGAACTTCTAAAAGAGGAAGGGGGAAGTCCCCCTCCTGCATTAATCAACAGATGGTTAAAAGATCCCACTCCCGATACAATTCAAAAGAAAAATAAAAGTCGTTTGTAAGATGAGTGCTTTAAAATCTGGATCGCTATTTCTAATGTAGGAAGGAAACGCCAACAGGATGGGTCTACTGAAATGTAGCTTCTCTGTATAACAGTTTAAGCATGATTTCTCTTTCTGTATTGTCTGGAAAGAGTTTAATTGGTTCTATCAGCTCCAGTATATTTTCTTCTTATTTTTTAAAGGCAATTTGTCCCTTAATGCTTGCATCTTGTATTAAACTAGATCCACGAAAGATTTTACCTTCTCATACCATGAATAAAGAAAGTGGAAGGGGAAAAGGGAAGGCACTTGGAGACAAAATTTCTGTTGTGAGCAACATAAAGAACGCAAGCAACCATGTTAGATGACGACCAGACTTTTATTCCTTATATAAAAACCTTTTAATATTTTGAACACCCTCAATCTTTTGATTTGATTGTTATCTGACTCTGAGGCCTCCTTGTAGCCAAGTTGGCAGACGACAGGAAAAAAAGATACCGTAGACCGTCGAACCTGCAGGAGAGGTTGAGGAAGTATTTCTGCTTTAGATACATGAAAGCAACAGACAGGTGTTGCTTTGATAAAAGACATAAGCAGGTGTTTCCTCCTAAAGGTAGAATTGCCAAAATTATTTAAACAGTGTATCTTCAGACATCTTGAAACTCAAATACTTTGGCCACCTAATGAGAAGGAAGGACTCACTGGAGAAGGGCCTAATGCTAGGAAAGATTGAGGGCAATAGAAGAAGGGGACGACAGAGAATGATGTGGCTGGATGGAGTCATTGAAGCAGTAGGCGTGAGCTTCAATGGACTCCAGAAGATGGTAGAGGACAGGAAGACCTGGAGAAACGTTGTCCATGGGGTCGCGATGGGTCGGACACGACTTCGAAATTAACAACATCTTCAGACAAGCAGCCAATTAAAAAGAGCCTTTATCTATTATTTCTTTCTCCCACAGTATTTTATTAAATGTCCTACAGAAGGATAAAGAGACCAAATTTGTATGTTTGAAGAGATGGTAAAAATCTGTGGAGCCCATCCTAGCCAGCAAGACGTGGTCCAGCTCAGCATCAAGTTCTTGAATTATACTTTCATCAGGCGCCGCTCAGCTTTCCAGAACTATTCAATATTTTGCTTTTGACTAGTGAGACCCTTTTATATGGAAAGAAAACAACCAAAGTTCCTTAAGTTGCAAGACCTCAAAGGCTGCCTTCAAAAGATCTTCAAAGTGGATTGCCAACATAAAGTTTTAAAATTTTGCACTGCAGGGTCTTCTTCTGGACCACAGACAAGGGTTGCTAGAGGTTCCTCCTGAGTGGAAGGACATTGTCTCATCAGGAAGGATGTTGAGCCACCACCACCGAGGGGCAGAAGGAGAACCGGTTCTTCTGAGGAAGAGAGGGCTAAGTGCTGCTTCCTTCTGGATCTGCCCAATTCTTGCCTCTTTATAACCAGCGTACTTTGGAGGGGCTGACCTGACTTGACCCCTGTAACCTGTCTCTTTTGTTTTATGGGGGATGCTTGGTTCCTCCTTCACAGGCCATACCGGGAGGAAAGAGGAGACCCACTCCAGGGAGAGAAAACTGTCGCTCAGAACTCCCGCCAATGGTTTTCCGCTGTCTGTACAACTGCCTTCCTCAAGAGGGCACTGTGGGTTTAATGAACAAGACTCTTCGCCGCAATATTGTTCCTCCTTTATGGAGAAGGCAACAGGACTGGTTCTTTGCTGGAGCGCAGGATCTTTGGCGCACAACTAGACAGGAACCATAACAGGGACACTGATTAATTCAAAATTCCTGACTTGGCCTGACTACGTTTTGGAAGGCAGCCCTTGCATATAGATTTGTGAGGGTTGGGGAATGGTACAGAAAGGAAAACTGAGCTTATTGTTTTATACCTATAATTGGTAAGAACCTTTTATTTTTTTTTTAAAAAAAAACCCTGTCACATGGAGAAAAGGAGTGGAAAAAAAGAGATGCACTGCAGTAGTTTCAGAAAGAAATATGACCAGCTTGCTTTTTCCTTTTGCTTGCCTCTTACCTTCCTAATCATGGTTAAGTCTGGCTGCTTTGTCCATGTCCTGTTGTAAATGTCATAGGACTCCATAGAAGTGAGCACCTGTTCTCCATCCTCACCTCCCAAAACATACAGCACCCCATCGATCTCGACCAGGCCAAAATTGTGCCGTGCCTATTGGAAATATAAGGTGTAAAAATGAAATCCTAATCATACAGCACTGTAAATCTTGTTAGGTTACAATATAAACCACGGAGGGTATAAGCAATTCAAGTACCTCAGTCATGGGTGGCAAGGGGCTCCATGTATTTGTATCTGGGTCGAACTTTTCACCCGAATTTAATGTAGTTTTATTTTCATCTTGACCTCCCAAGACAAACAGGAATCCCTCTGAGAAGCAGAGAAAGTAAAGATATATTTCAAAACACCGAGCCAGCGGATACACTTTATAAGAACAATCAACAACTGAATAGTGAAAGGATGATAAGAGATTATCAAAAAGTACGACGTCTTCAGATTTTAATAACAGAGTAAAAAGAAGGAACCTTAGAGTCTTCTAACCCAGGGGTAGGCAACCTTGGCTCTTTTATGACTTGTGGACTTCAACTCCCAGAATTCCTGAGCCAGTATGGCTCAGCTTGGAACCCTCTCCCTTTCACCTCAGCGTGGCTGGCTCGGGAATTCTGGAAGTTGAAGTCCACGAGTCATAAAAGAGCCAAGGTTGCCTACCCCGGGGTTAGGCTTAGTATGTTTTGTGAACATAGCCAATGTAGTTTGTTAAATGTAGTCAAGAAAACTATGATTGAATATAATGTATGTACCTATTTACTGGCTGTAAGGTGTTTAATAAGTTTCTATTAGGCACCAAAGAAAATGTATAAGGCCAAAAGGATTATATGAAAAGAGTAAAAGAACCAGTTTAGTGTAGTAATGTTGAGCTGGCTCTGGAGACTGAATTCTAAGCCTCCTTTAGGCATGAATGCTGGCTGGGAGACTCTAAGCCAGTCATTCTCTTTCAGCCCAAGTCAACTCAGAGGGTTCAAAATAGAAGGCAGAAGGAATATTAGGGATATTTGCTGTATTGGGTTATATATAAAAAAGGCAGAAAAGTGTGTTTTGATTCTAGAAAGACTGAAGAGAAGAGCAACAAAGATGATTAGGTGACTGGAGGCTAAAACATATAAGGAACGGTTGCTGGAATTGGGTATGTCTAGTTTAATGAAGAGAAAGACGAGGGGGGACATGATAGCAGTGCTCCAGTGTCTCAGGGGCTGCCCCAAAGAAGAGGGAGTCAAGCTATTCTCCAAAGCGCCTGGAGGCAGGACAAGAAACAACGGATGGAAACTAAGCAAGGAGAGAAGCAACCTGGAATTAAAGAGAAATTTCCTGATAGTGAGAACAATTAACCAGTGGAACTTGTGGGTGCTCCATCACTGGAGACTTTCAAAAAGAGACTGGACAACCATTTGTCTGAAATGGTCTAGGGTCTCCTGCTTGAGCAGGGGTTTGGACTAGAAGATCTCCAAATTACCTTACAGCTCTGTTATTTTATATTCTGACTATATTCATCATCAATGAAGAAATATTAAAAAAAATAGCAAAATATATACCATATGACTGGGTTCCTAAGACAAGGATGTACATGTTTATAGCACTTCCTTGTCAGAATGTCTGAGTGGAAAATGACAGCATCTGCAAAAAGAATGTTCAAAATGGCCAGACAGCCACATCGTATCGCAACTTAAGCCGCAACCCTTTGATACTTGCACCTACATCATGCGTGCATCCAAAATGGTCAGAGATCAAATTGTGATGCTGTATCTACAATTTTGCCTGTTCTAACGTCCAGAAATATGTGCCCTCTGAGGAAATGGAAGCGGGGGAAAAAAATCTTCGGTGAAAACCTACCATACCTCTTAGAATACAGTAGTAAGGGGATAAAAATTGGAAAAGCTATGAATACATAAAATTTTCCACTAATCTCTTTTGGGTATTGGCTTATATGTATTAGACAAAAACAGATAGTGCCTTGGTCACCTCATAAAATATTTAATCGATACACCACATGGGTTTGGCAAAACTAATATTTCTTCCGCTTTCCTTCCTTCTTTCCTTTTCCAATCTTCCTTCCTTCCTTCCTTCCTTCCTTCCTTCCTTCCTTCCTTCCTTCCTTCCTTCCTTCCTTCCTTCCTTCCTTCATTTTTCCTCCAAACTAGAGAGAAGTTAATTAGTCACAGGTTAATATTTAAGGACCAGGTTAATAAATAAGGACCAGGATGTGATCCAAAGTAGCTAAAATATTATTTGACTTTACAGATATTTAAAGATTTCTATACTCTTTTACTCAAGGGAAGGAAGGAAGCCTTTGTCCTACCTGCAGAAAGTACACTGTGGTTTATCCTTGGTGTACTCATAGGAGCCAGCTCTATCCACAACTGTCTGTGACGATCATACAAAGGGCACATGCATCGCACTACAGCTGAGGGCTTCCTGGAGCTGAATAGAAAGAAAAAGCAGAAATTAACTCGTTGGTATAAGACGATTCGCTGTTAAACGCTTTTAAAAAGTGCTCAGCTCTCTCCATTAAATATTTCAGGATATAAAGGATATAGTAGATTACAATTTACTTAGTGCATCTTGATCACTAAATATTATCCAGCAAGAATCAGCTCAGGCTGATCGTTCTTTGCAGTTCCTATAAACAGTTTATGGGGCCAACTTTAGACCCAAAAGCTTTTCTGGAAGCGAAAGATGACACTTTGGCTGCAGCGTGCCATTTCACCATTTTAAAACATTATTTCAATATTTAAAAATGAGACGGAACAGAGAGACTGGCAGATCTTGCCTTGATGGGTAGGGATGGAGCTAAGCCACAGGGTTGAGTGATAACTGTCTCAAAGTAATGTGTAAGTTTCAAACTCATTGGATTCTTGGTCTTTTGGGGTCTTGCTTTTCTTCTGCCAGATGTTTAGGTGACATCATTAGTCTACCTGAAGATGGGCTTAGCTTGACAATGAAACATTCTGCAGGAAAAGTAAGCTCAGGTCACAGAGAACCCAAACACTTGACCCTAAGGTCCATTTATTCTCCACTACTGCAATCTCACACATTTCTTTGATGGAGTATTTATTCAGATGTATGTCTTCTCTGTCTTTTTGACCCCTCCCCTGCTGCGTGAGATCCACGGCTGCTTCCCTGAATTACTTACACTCTTTCTTCGCCCCCAATGGTCACAATGCACTCTGAATATCCTCGGGGTTTAAAAGAAGCAAGCATTGCCTCTTCTTGCTGGGGTGGGGTGAGTGGAATGTTGTTACATTCTTTGACAATCTCCCGAACCAATGGCTCGTTCATCATCTGTTCACGCAAGTAAGTAGAGTCCAATCCAGTGACCCACACAGCCGACATGACATCTTTCATATGAACCTGGACAGCCACAAAGATAATGGAAATCACAAAACGATCCCAACTGTATGAGCTTTATAGACAAATTCTGTGCTTAAAATTCCTGTTAACAGACTTTTACAGGCAGGGGCAGCGCTTAACATCATATGGGAGGGTAAGGAATATATTTGCAGAAGGATACACTGGGCAGAACGATCTCAAAAGGGCAGGAAATCCTATACCATTCCCTCAATTGCACGCAGAGGCAGGGGTCTTATATCATGTCTCATAAATATATATAACTTATATGTTTAGAGAATAAATAGTTCCAACTACTACTCTTGTAATGAATGAAGGCATGGGGGGGGGCGGGCAGGGGTGCCTAAAGAAAAAAAAGCAACAAGAAATACAGACCACAACCGAGCCCAACATTTCTGTTGTTAAATGAGACATTTGTTAAATGAATTCCGTCCATTTTACAATCTTTCTCGCCCTCGGTTATGAAATGAATCCCTGCAGCTGATAAGCGAGTAACCCAGTTGTTAAATGAATTTGGCTTCCCCGCTGACTTTGTCAGAAGATTGTAAAAGGGGATCACGTGATCTTGGGACACAGTGAGGGTCCTCAATACGAATCAGTTGCCGAGCGTCTGAATTTTGATCATGTGACCACTGGGATGCTGCAAAGGTCGTAACTGTGAAAAACGGTCGTCAAGTCATTTTTTTCCCCCAGTGCTTTTGTAACTTTGAAGAGTCACTAAATGAAAGGTTGTCAGTGAAGGACTATCTCCACTGTGTAGGATAACATATGAACTACAGGAGCAAGGAGAGTCAAAGCAGAGCGGACATGTAATGACCATGTAAGCAGAGAGCTAAACTTCATACGTTAGAAGCATCCCAATAAATCAACACGAGCACATATGTTTATGCCAGAGGTCTTCAAACTTGGCCACTTTAAGACTTGTGGACTTCAACTCCCAGAATTCCTCAGCCAGTTGGCTGAGGAATTCTGGGAGTTGAAGTCCACAAGTCTTAAAGTGGCCAATTTTGAAGGCCCCTGGTTTATGCAAACTTCTTAAAGGTTGACTCTGAATCGTATACCTTTCTTAATTCAGGATCGTGGGAAATCCACCGAAGGACCGCTTCAAAAATATGTTTCTCATCCCCAACGTTTAACTTCTCCAACGACAGCACTTCTTTCAGTCTCTGAGGAGAGAGTTCCAGGAATTCTTCTGTGCTGCTGACATCCCGGAAGTGTGTTTCAAGATACTCCGAGGCCAGGTAGTGAACGTGGAGTAGACAGTAGTGTAGTGCAAAGTCCCGAATGCCAATACAGTTCTCAGCAGCGATGCAACCCTCCAGAAACTCGCAACAGAGCTTTTTAAGGTCTGTCAGCAGCAACAGGTCAGCAGCTTGTACCACATCTTGAATGGTCTCTTCACTCAGCTTGATCTAGGTTCAAGACAGAAAAATACAGCCGGTGAGGAAGGTGGCCTGAATCAAACTCCAGATAGTTATCCACTTTAGCACCCAACTGCTTCTTCCTGGTTTACTGTTAGGCTAATAAACATGGAACAGTAGACTGCAGGAAAAATACAGAATTACATGTGAACTTGTCATAGCAAGCCCATAGGCTTTCTTCTTCTCCAATGGGTCCACATTACTGGCTATGTCATACTGTAATATATATTCCACACAAGGATCATCCAATCTTTCCTGAAGTTAGGAAACAGTTGGTGACAATCCTGCACTGTGTATAATTCTCATCTCACCTGACCTCTTGCTACAAATGGTGCAATGGTTGCTTAAGACAGGGGTCCCCAACCCCCGGTCCACATAAACAAGCAAAGCCCCATCCACGAGATGCAGGCAGCACACAAAACCATGCACTCTCTGGTCCGTGGAAAAACCTCTCTCCACGGAACCGGTCCCTGGTACCCAAAAGATTGGGGGCACCAGGCTTTAGAAGGGGCCAAGAACAGTCCATGAAAAAAAACTAAGCCTGTATTAGCCATGACGAGTGAACTTGGCTTTCACATTCATGGAACACATAAGAGATGTGTGGTTTCCCATATAATTTACCACCTTCAGCAAAGTGTTCGGCTGGCTACTGCAGAAATGAGAATGATCCACTTGGACTTCCAATCTTCTCCAGCTGTGTTTTCTTAATGGATGCCGGAGGAGAGGTCCTCCTTGGCTTATGACCATAACTGAGACCTAATTTCTATTGCTAAGCGAGACAGCTAAGCCAATTTTGCTCCAGTGCTTACATGAATCACTACAGTTGTTAAGTTAGTAACGCGGTTCTTAAGCGAATCTGGCTTCCCCATTGACTTTGTTTGTCAGGAGGTCACAAAAGGTGATCACATGACCCCTGGGAACTGCAACCATCATAAATATGAACCAGCTGACAAGCATCTGGGTTTGATCATGTGACCCTGGGGATGCTGGAAAGAGCGTAAAGGGGGAAAACAGTCACTTTTTTCAGTGGGGTGGTTAACTTTGAATGGCCACTAAATAAGTAGCTGTAAATTGAGAAGCACTTGTGTATTTAGCATTCAATAGAAAAAGCATAATCTCTTCGAACCATCACACTGACGCTTAAGAATGAAAGGAGCATTTAACAAATTGGGGCAAAGTCTATCTTAACTTTGCAAAGTTTCCAGTGATCCATCAGGAGATTTGGGGAAACTGGCCAGGATACTTCTGCTTTGTGAACGTATTTCTGAGGAGATTTAACTTACAACTCTAGGGACTAACTTTTGACCAGTCATGGACAGAATTGTGACTGGACCCCCATACGCGCGGACAGAATATTGCTGAAGATATATGGAGGATCAATATTAGCAAAAACACACCTGACCACTGAAGATGTAGTCCAGAATCTCTTTCATGGTATCCACAGATATCCCTTCAAGTTCAATTTTATACACGGATCCATCATCCTTGGGAGAATTATAGTTCAGTTTTGTCCTGTAAAAGACAGGTTTCCATTTTAAAAAGCAATAGGAACAGGGCAAACATTTCAGAAAACCATTCATGAAAATTGCTCCAGCTTGTTTTCAATTATGTAATAATTATGTTCTCAAAAATTCTAAGACACTAATAGAAAGCCCTTAGTTAATAACTAGTAAACACTTCAAACACTTCATGACAATAATTATTCAAATGTTCAGTGCAATCTCATGGTAAGCATATCCCACTCTCAGCCCCAAATTTTGTTCAGCTCTTACAGGAGAAGTTTCAGTCAGGCGTTCCATTTTATTAAATTCAAGGCATACAACATAATGACAAGACTTTCCTTGAGTCCCTCTGCCCCATAGCTACTCATTACGCAGATAAGAAGGAAAGTGTTTTTCCTTGCCTGTTTCCCTCTTTTCCCTTTTCCTAGAAGGGAATCAACATCAAAGAAAAAATCCTCAAAAAGGAAGAGTGAAGAGGACTGCGGGGAGAACCAGGCGTCTATGCTCCTGTTTATGTATTTATCGAGTCTTTTATAATTCGCTTGAAGTACGAACGGAGAGAATTAATGTTTAAGGAGGTGCATATAGCCTCTTTGCCCTGTGGAAGCAACCATACACATTTCATTACTTCCTTAATCTCACCCACAGCTATTGGTCCAAAGCAATTCAGTGCCAAACACACAGCTAAGTCATCTTATTCCTTCCTAGTTAAATACCTGCATGAGAATTTGTGGGCTGCCAGAAGGATTTCCCCATGTTCACCCTCATTAAATTTTGCTTAATTATGTAATTTATAAGGCAGCTTTAATGTGGCACGTTTTTACTCTACAGCTGTTAATATTACCCCCTTGTCCTTCTAACTTGATTTCATTAACAGGCCTTTTAGGGGGCTTTAGGTTACAGAGTTAAGACAAGGACACAGATGTGCAACCCTAAAATCAGTTCCTGTTCTCCCCCCAAAAAAAACAAACAAAGGTTTGTTATTATTTTTCTGCAGGTCATACTTTAGCCCTTTGGCAGCACAAATTAAAGATACAAGCTTCTAACCACACCCTAATCCCACTGCCAATTTTCTGAGAATTATGGCTGTAGGTTTGTTTTCAGGTGCTCTGTGCAAGAGCCACTTAAAAACAAACACTCTGTGTAAAAAATAAGGCACTCTACCCTTCCATTTACAGAAGGAACTACTATAATATTTATACTGATTTTAAACTTTATGAACTATTTTTATTCCCTACCTACTCACATATTCTCCCCTAAGTGCACAAGTAGGTCAATGGTATCCTGAAAACTGGTCCAGTCCTCTTGAAGCAGGGGTCCCTAATCCCCGGGCCATGGACAGGTACCGGGCTGCGGCACGCCAGCAACCGGTCCGCACAAAAAGGAAAGCCCCATCTGCGGGATGCAGGCAGCACACAAAACCACGCACTCTCCAGTCCATGGAAAACGCTCTTTCCACGGAACTGGTCCCCGGATGCCCAAAAGGATGGGGACCTCTGTCTTAAAGGACTGCCAGAGGACAATCTTCTATTTGAAAGTAACTTCTATCTGAACTTCAAAGCTGATTTAAGAGGTAAAAAAGCTGCAAAGAAAATGTGGATGCAAAATCCCTATTAAGAGATAACCGCTGAATAGGAGATGAGGTAGCAACATGAGATAGCTGGGTATAATCTCTCTATTTCTGGTAAGACATATTGTACTTCTATAACACTGTATGCGTATCAGCCCCAACTGATCCAGTTGCAGAGTGAAAGCTTTTTTTTTATTGAAAGTTATGCACCATAATCTACCACACTAGTCCAGATAGATGTTGGTAGATAGACATTTTTCAACTTTGCAGTCTACACTTAAGACTTAGCACCTAGCCCAAAGTCACCCAGCCAGTAGCCCAAAGTCACGCAGCCAGTTTCTATGCCTGAGGGAGGGCTAGAGCATGGGCCTCCTTGCTTTTGGTCTGGCACCTTAAGCATTACCCAATGCTGGCTCTTATATATACAATATACACATAAGTCTGTGCTTGACTTACTTTCTTTTATAATTTATTTCTCTTTTTAGACCAGGGCTAGGCAACCTTGGCTCTTTTATGACTCGTGGACTTCAACTCCCAGAATTCCTCAGCCAGCACGGAAACCTCACCCTTTCCCCTCAACATGGCTGGCTCAGGAATTCTGGGAGTTGAAGTCCACAAGTCATAAAAGAGCCAAGGTTCCCCACCCCTGTTTTAAACCAATGCATAAATGGTAGCTTTGAGAACATGCTTTACTCAGGAGACTATTTTCAGAACCAAATCTGGAGCACTGTTCTTCTCTTGGTGTCCAAAGTCTAGGTAAGTCAACTATTGTACCTTAAATAATGACCAGGGTGATCTTGGGCCACTTGCTCTCTCAGCTCAACCCACTTCAGAGGGCTGATGATATGAGGAAAGCAGGAGAAGGAAGGAGGATTATGTATGTTTGCCGCCTTGAGTTACTTACAAAGTAACAAAGGGAGGATTAAAAAAAATTAAAATAAATGAAACAATTAAGTCAGTAACATGGTATCTAAATAAACTTAGAGTACATTTTTGCTGTTGTTGCATGGATGCCGTGTAAATATTCTGTACTGTAAGCATATGACAATGTTGCGGAACATCAAGCAAGCAAGCTAGGACAACATCCACAAAACATGCCACAGCACTGGAAGGCAAGACAAGAAACAATGAATGGAAACTACTCAAGGAGAAAAGCATCCTGGAATTAACAATGAGGACAATTAACCATTGGAACAGCTTGCTTTCAGAAGTTGGGCCTGCTTCATCACTGGAGGTTTTTAAGAAGAGACTGTCTGAAATGATATAAGAGAGGGCTCTTCAAACGTGGCCCTTTTATGACTTGTGGACTTCAACTCCCAGAATTCCTCAGCCGGGCACGTGTGCCCGGCTGAGGAATTCTGGGAGTTGAAGTCCACAAGTCATAAAAGGGCCACGTTTGAAGAGCCCTGATATAGGATCTCCTGCTTGAGCAGGGGGTTAGACTAGAAGACCTCCAAGGTTCCTTCCAACTGTATTCTGATTAAACTGATTAAACCCTCTTAAACTGCAGTTCCATTCTGCGGTTGTGATCAGAAAGGAGACGCAGAGAAGCTTCCAAAGAGAGTTGCTGCCCAATTTTCTCTCCCATAGAATTGTACCGTGGGATTATTTCTAGCATTCTACTTTTTTCCCCCATCTGGCCCCATTTTAAGCTGGATCTTTCTTTGCTCTGCTTCTGCCTTTCCATCAACATTTTGCTGTGTTTTACAGAGCTATCTCTGCTGATGGACAAGCAGACGTTCATAGTTCTAAGCCCAGTGATGTCATTCCTCCCCCAACATACTGTTGGCTGGGAAAGAATACAAATGAGTCACCTCCTGAATTTCTGTTCTAAGTTTTTTTTCCCCCTTTGGAGGATATAAGCCAAAAAGGTCCAAAGCTTTTGGGGATGGCTATAAGGAACTTCAGATTATTTCTACCCATCAACCTCCCAGCACCATTTTCAAGTTTTAAAAAAATATATCGGCAATTATTTGCTGTAATTTTTTTTTGAGGAAAATAGCAACTGCCGGAAAGAAAATTACGAATGGTGGAATGGTTTGTAACACTATTTCTACTCTATTCATTCAAGACTGAGGATTTGGATTCTATACACATGTGCCCAGTGCTAGCTCAGATACCAGCTTAGAAGAAACTATGATTCAGTCTTAATAATAATGCAGATCTATGCTCTCACTCTTTCTCTAATTACCTTTTATCTGATAAAAAAAAATGCATGAGTCGGTTATATGCACACTCCCTTCTCCGTATAGAAATGAACTGAATTATTTTTCACTGAATGTTAATCCTCAAGGACAGATAAAAATATATGTTCACATCTATCTCCAAACTCTTCATTTTACATGTAATGGATTAAATGTATGTGAATATTTATACTATCGCAAACATTCTGTCCATTAAAGACTTGTTCCAAGAATTTAAAAATGTTCCAATTGACCTAAACTTTATGCTAAAATGATTTTTTTTTTAAAAAAAAACTAGTTCAGCTAGTTACATGTAAGATTACATGAAAACAGATGTTAAAAAACATCTGAATTGTAAACTATGGCTGACAATCCATTTCAGAGCTCTTAAACAACAGTTTTTGTTGAGTGTGTGTGTATATATATATATATACACACACACAGATCTCAGCATATTTTAATATAAACTAATAAAAAGGATTAATCTACATACTGTCATTGCCAGGCGGGAAAATGACAGCTGTCAAACAACTATTTAACATATTTATTATAGTGCTTGTAAAAGTCATACAAGGTACCTTGATTTGGAACTTATCCTATGCTGTGGAGAACAAGATCTTCATATGGAAGAAATAGTGTAATAAATCACTGCTCTTTCCAAGGATGTCACAACATTATGAAAACACTAATTGGTATCCTATAATAAGGACCCAGGCATCTTTTAGATAGGAATGTTCTGTTCTTTATTTAAAATGTGTATTTAAATAATATATCTAAAGCAAAGGAAGGGAAGAGGAACTACATCGTTTAAATTATACATGAGGCATCTTCAGCTTCATATCTGAGAAATATTTATGTAATCCATTGTGAAATTTGTATCTCAGCTGTTTGCTGCCATTCCTTATTCCCTGCCTTAACATGCTTTCTAGCATTTAAACCATGAATCTTCCAAGAAAGGCCTCTTTAATTACTTGACAGTCAGCAGCTTCCTAACTCTTCTTCACCATGAAAAATGCCCTCTTTTTGATTTTTGCAAAGGAACTGATAACTGTAAATATCAATATTACCCACAGAAGTCTTGGTAAACAAAAGAAGCCCTGCCTCTTTTGGCATGAATGATACACCTGAATTTGTCAGTAATTTTCCCATCACCCCACCCATTCATCCAGATTAAAGGACTGATTTTAAGGGGCTCTGATAATTAACATAAAAGATTGCCCATGAAAAGAGATTAACATAGGAATTCTCCTATTATTTGAGAACAGCTAGAGGTTTGTTTACACTTTTTAATCTACAGTACTGCCTTTCTTGTGCTGGAGAAGGGTGTACAGAGTGGAAATAGCTGGACAAAGGAAAAGAAGAAGAAATAGTAGGATTGGGGGGTTGGTAACTAACTGGGCGAGCAAGAAGTAAAAAAAGAAATCAAAACAGAATAAGAAAATACCTGAATCCATAATGTAGTTGCTCATATATAATTTTACCTTTTCTATGAATTGCTCTAAATGTTAAATCAAGCAGTATGAGATTTCTCATCTGCTTGTTCTTAGACCTAGTCCAGTGATGGCGAACCTTTTAGAGCCTGAGTGCCCAAACTGCAACCCAAAACCCACTTATGCATCGTTGGGTGCTGGGTAGGCATGGCTGTGATGGTAACAGCAGACTGGGTGGGACTAAAAAGTTCAATCAATCAATTCCAGCTTTGCCAGATCTTTTTTTTTTCCCTGCAAGAAGTTGAAATTGACTGACTGAACCTTTTTTTTTTTTTGTACACGGTGGTGGAGGCCTAAAGCGAAAAGGTTTTATAAAACTCAGCTGAAGGCCTAGGGCTGGGGCTACGGCGCACGTGCCCACAAAGAGGGCTCTGAGTGCCGCCTCTGGCACCCGTGCTATAGATTCGCCACTACTGATCTAGTCTGATCTTGTGGTTTGAAGGCACATAAAGACAAACATTTTCTTGATGTTAATCAGGCATGCACAGTACCTGGATGAACGGTTCTATAGAGGAGGCCAGGTGAGCAGCTATCAGTTTCATATTAGAAGCTAAGATCCAAAATAAACTTAAAGCTAATTTCGGCAATCCCTGACTTCATACTCCAGGCTTTCTCACTGAATTCAGTAAATGCCTGATATATTAATATATATATTAATATGCTTAGTTTTTCAATGAGACGACAGAGCAGCATTACAATAAAAAAAATGGGAGAGGGAGACTCTGCACATGCTCAGAGGCACCTTCCTTTCTAGTGAGGTGAATTATTTAAGACTTTATTTAAGAATTACATAAAGGACACACCACCATCTAAAATGATTATCTTATTTGATGGGTTCAAAAATCTGTGCAAGCACTTTCAGCCGCCATACTTTCAAAAATTGTTTCTTATAGATTAGCAGTGTGAGTAAACCAAGCAGTTGTGGCTTGTTCGGCAGACAGGTCAACAAGTGAAGGTTACATGCAAAGCCAGACACCACCTAGTAGGCAAGTCATGGAAAAATGTTGTCAACAATTGTCAAGAAGCTATGCAACGCTTTAAAAGTCACAGGCAGGAACTTGTTAAAAAAATAAATAAATCTGAGGCCTGTTGGAAGGCTGCCAGTTCAGCCAGTGCTTACTAAGCATATCTGAATAGCCTGCTAAAGCAGGCCAGGGGATCATCCCTAGGCCCAATAATGGCTAATCTTTAACATATCGCTGGATTTCAGCATTCATGCTGCACTCTGAAGCAATCAACATTTATTTTAACCAATATATTAGTCACCTCAATTGCTGAAGAAGCTCAAAATGCTTTACAAAGGAAAAAAAAATAATGATTTAAAACAGACTCAGCAACGACTACAAGAAGCAAATAAAAACCACACCACAAGGATCATAGATTTTCCAATCCTACAGCCTGTTAAAAATGTCAAGACTTCAGTGTTCCTAAAAATATAACTGGCTTACAACTAGATGAGGGATGTTCCACAGGGCAGAGAAGTCACAAAGGATCCTCCTCCCCAACAGCTTTTTTGCTGAGATCCAGATCATGCCACCCTGATAAGAGGAAGTTGAATGCTTCTTCGCTGTGCATCTCTCAAGGCTTTTTATAGTGATAAAAAAAATTATCCAAACCAGAAAACTAAATCTTGGCATCCAGGCAAGCACAGTCTCTCTAACCACTGGTGTCTTAAGTTGACTCAACTAGAAATATCCAAGACCTGTGAAAGGATGTGAAGTGAGACCATTTAATTTTGCTTCTTGTTTCCAACAAATCAGTCAGAACCGGCTCAATTTAACTGAAAACTCTGATTCCACAAAGCCTAATTAAATTCATTTAAACAAAAACAAGCTCCTGTAGGAAAATGAAGGAAAAATCGGAATAATAAAAGCAACAGTGGATTTTTCCTAAGCTAGCATCACTGCAACATCTCTTATGGTTATCACAAGTTAGCTAGGGATTTGTAAGAGTCTGTCACAAAGAAACGGAAGGTTTAACTGAATTCATGTCCTTTGCATAATATTTGCTACTAACTTAATGTATGCCTATTTAATCTGCTTTCAAGGAGCTCAGGGCAGCGTAGGTGCCTATTTAATTCTCACACACACTCTGCCAGGTAGTTTACAATCATCTTGAATGGTGGATTCTTGGGAACCGAATTTGGGATCAATAATAAAAGATTAGATTTCTGAACTTCTTGATACACTGGGTCACTTCTGCACCAGGATGCCACAATGGGGATGAGTCAGTGGGAATCAAGTGTGGGTCATCACAATGCCATGGTGGGAAGGGTATGGCATATTTCATTGTCACTGTTTATTGACTCTGGGTGAGTCACCTAGGATTAGTGTATAAGATAGGCAGATACAGACGCCTTATAACTCAATAAACAAACTGCTTTCCATTTAATACTTTAGAGTATTTACAAAATAGAATATTAAGAATTTAGGCACATTGTACAATGATCATCTTAATTAAAATAACCTATTGTACTAAAACTGAGACGATGGAGCAATAGATTGTCTACATGGCTAGATTTAATAATATATTAAAAGAATGAGTCAGTGTTAATTCAGCAATATATATATAGTAAAATGCCTGATTTTACTATATTTTTGGTCCCGGGTCTCCTATCTTCTAGTTGTTATGCTTATGGAAAAATAGGTGCAATAATAACAACATGCCATTTCAAAGCAGGAGCAAAAAACAAACAGCCTTGCATCCCGCTCTGCAAGAGGCAGAGCGGGATGCTGGTTAAAGTGCTGGAGATGCCAGAGTTGAAATCCGTCCTCCATGGGATAGAAACTAGGTTTAGGTAGACCAGTCCCTCTCTAAGCCCAACAGGCCTCCCTCAAAGGGTTGTTGTGGTAGGAAACAAGGGAGCCAGCTGCCTCTAATTCCTGAAAAGAAAAAAGCAGGCAATACCACACAGGGAAGAGACAAAGCAAGAAGGGGAAGACTTAAAAGCCCTATTTCTCAACCTCAGCCCAGAATGTCCAAAAGGCTTTTATTTCACACGTTATGGACTTAAAATTCAGGGGTCCTCAACCTTGGCCATTTTAAGACTTGTGGACTTCAACTCCCAGAATTCCTCAGCCAACAAAGCAGGGGTCCTCAACCTTGGCCACTTTAAGACTTGTGGACTTCAACTCCCAGAATTCTGGGAGTTGAAGTCCACAGGTCTTAAAGTGGCCAAGGTTGGAGACCCCTGGACTAAATGCATGCATATGTTTGCATTATTATTGCACATGGACGGGAAAATTCTGGGAGTTGCAATCTGCCCGTCCAGGAAAAGCGGAGGCTGAGAAGCGCTTCGTTGCAAGAAGGGTGGGTGCAACAGCAGCCCCCCCTACACCCCCTGGAGGTGACGGACCCCCCCTTTTTGTGGGGAAACAGACCCAAGAGACCCTCGGAGGTAGCAACGGCCCGCTCCGCCCCTCTCCTGCCGGGCCCGGCCTCCGCTCACCGCACGTAGGGGCTGGCGGCGGCCAGGATGTTGGTCTGCACCGGGATCTCCTGCCCGTCCAGCACCAGGTTGGCGTCGCAGAAGCGGCCCTCCTGCCGGAAGGAGCTCAGCGCCCGCAGCAGCCGCGCCGCGTGCTGCGGGTCGGAGACGGAGCTGCCCGGCGCCCCGCTCGACATGGCGGCCCGCGCGCCGCCGCCGCTCCTGCTCCTGCTGCTGCTGCTTCACCCCGCTGCGCTCCGCTCGACTCGCCGCGCCCTCACCGCCGGCCGGGAACCGCCATCCTGCCGCGCCGGCGCCGCCTGACCTCATCTCCGCGCGACGGACACGCCCCCCGGAGGCGGGGCGCAGAGAGGGGGACTCCGCCCCGAAGGAGGAGCAGGGGTCCCCCTCCCTCGCGGGGGTGGGCGGAGCTAACGCCGCGCCCGGCACGTGCTGAGTCAGGCTGCGAAAGCCGGCGCCGTTTTGCACGATCGCCAAGCTCATAGTTCCCAGCCGGGAGGCGCCAGGCTGGCCCGTCTTTTTTTCGCCTTGAACGCGGCTGGCTCTCTGGGCGTGCTCAGAAGGGAGACGGGGGCTGCGGCCTGAGTTTCCAGCCCAGCCTTCTCCAATCGGATGGGTGGGACTACAATGCCCAGGCTTCCCAGCCAACAGTGGGGTGGTTGTTGTTGTTGTCTAGTATTATGGCCCACTTAACAGCCGAGTAGGGAAGATTGACAGTGTCCAAAAGGAGCAGTGATGCTCTGTTTGCGTAGGCAGGTGTGACAAATAATAACACCGCAATATTGGATTTTCAGGCTAAAATGCCCAGGGTTGAAATTTGGGAGAAGGTGGTTCTTGTAAAGTGGGATGCAATGGCTCAGTGGTTGAAGACCCTGAGCTTGTCAGCTGCAGAGCTGGCAGCCCAGGTTCAAGATCCCATCTCCACGCCCACCTAGCAAGTTGGAAAGCGTGCAAAATGCGAGTAGGTAAATAAGTACCGCTTAGGTGGGAAGGTAACAGTGTCCCATGTGCCTTGGAAAGGTGTTCAAACAACACTGACTCCCTTGGCTAAGAAATGGAGATGAGCACTGTGCCCTAGAGTTGGACAGGGGATGCCTTTATCTTTTTATTCTTCTCAAGTTCCTGCCCAGAAGAATGGACATTGCACTGATGAAGACTTTTCCTTCAACAATTGAAAAGTCTTCATCAGCACCGCCACTTAACTTACAGTGAAGACTTTGGGGAGATTCTTTGGCCACAGGCAAAGAAGAAAATCATACATCACAACACTTAAGCCCAAACTGAACAGTTGAAGAGTTTTCAAGAGATGGTCCTCATTCGGATTTATTCTAATATCTTGAACATTTGATCAAGGGGCAGTCTTGGATAGCGCTGACGTTTGCAAATGTCTCCACAAAAATCAGAATGAACCCCGTTACTTCACATATTCCACAAAAACAGGCACAGTCCCAGAAATCTGTTATCAGTAAGTGTCACAAAAGTCTTTGGGAACATAGTTGCATCAGACTGTTGCAACAGGCAATAATCAGTCTAAAAGAAGATACTAAAGTTTCCAGGCTTGCATTTTTGAGAAGCATCCAAAATCCAGAATTGGGCAATGCTTTTATTGGGGTCAAATTAGTTGGGTCTGGAGAGTTCCATATCTTTTTAGTAGTCATGTTTGGTGTGTTTAGGCACCTGCCTGATGAAATCTCGAGGCTGAATGACATCTAGCTGACTCAACTCCAATCTGTTTAAGCCAATCTGTTCTCCTGATAGCAGAAATTTCCAATATTTTATTGTTTTTCTCCTCAAATAACATCTTGTTGGACACTTTGGGAGAAAAGTACTAACTGATCATGGATTTTTCTTTTTTATGGAATAAACTTAGCTACAGTTTCTGGTACTCTCCAGCAAAGCTTTTATTGTATTCGTTCATTAAATTTGTATGACATCCATCTCACTATCAAGTGACTGGGTAGTTTACAGGGCTGTGATAAACATAATAAAACAATTAAAAGATTAAAAACACTAGAACACTGGGGTCTTACAGTTAAAACATTAATATTAAAGCGGATAAAAAGAACCAGTGCATAGATGGGGTGGAGCTGGGATCTTCTTTTAGCCAGCCATCTAAAATGGGACACCCCCCCCCTCAAGCCAGTTAGGGTTAGTTGTAAGCCATTCTTCCAACTTCCTGTTTTATTCTCTATAATTTTAGTTTGATAAGGCTCTGTTTTTGGAAGAGCCCTGTGCGGTTTAGAAGTGAACAGTCAGAATGTCCTTAAGTAAAACTGTCAACAATAAATCAATGGTTCTAAAATAAATGCAAAAGAAAACAAGACTGGCTATTTAAAAGAAAAAAATAGTGTAATAAAAAGAGAAAAAGTTGTCCTTGAGCCGAGTTTGGTACTTATATGAACGGTGTGATTTTCTTGGCAATCCTGTCTTGCCTTGTATCAGAAATACAGGAACTTGGAAAGGGGAAGATTATTAATATAAATTTTTAAAAATTAAGAACTAATAAAACCATAAATTTATATTATTTTAGCCCAATGCTGGGCCACATTGAGGGCAGGTATATTGCCTATCAGCAAGTCATTATGTGTGTGTGTTGGATTCAGGGGGCGCTATAAAAGATGGACAGTTGTTGGAATAGTGCCATATTCACAATAAATATTCTTATCCTCTGGAAGACGCCCCCATTTTTCCATGTGGTCTTTATTTGTAGCCCAAAGGCTCCCAACCTTTTGGGCACCAGGCACTGGTTCCATGGAGAGAGGTCTTTCCACAGACTGGAGCAGATGTGGTTTCACATGCTGCCTGCATCCCGTGGATGGGGCTTGGTTTGTGTGGACCGGTTGCTGGCATGCCATGGCCCAGTACTGCTCCATGGGCCGGGAGTTGGAGACCCCTGTTCCAGCCAAACCAGTGCACAATCTATTCTTGGCACTAATGTGATAATAGTTGGCCAAGACTGTCTTCTCCAGAATGGTTTTTCAACTTCACATTTAGTTTACGCCCTGGGTTTATCAATGGCCTCTCATAAGGTACAAACATGTTTATCTTCCAAGGCCAAACAAAACTGACATCATAAATATAATTTTATTAAACGTATAAGGCTATCCAACTCTAGAGTGACTCCAGGTAGCATACAATAAAACCATTACTAAAACACAGAAGAAGAAACAGCTATTTGAAAACAGTATATTGCATTGAACGCACTATTGACTATTAACTGCTATTTTTCAAACGTAGGAACTTAAAGATGCGCGGACTTGAATTCTCAGAATTCTCCAGCCTGCTATGTCTGAAAATGTTTGAACCAGTGTTTGAAAATAAAACACTAGTTTAAACCCAGGCCGGAGAGATAAGCCTAATTTTCAGAATATAGACCGTTTATGGACTGCTAAATCTATAATAATTTTGGGGAGATTGAGTAATTGCCTTTTTTTTCTAGATTTATTTTTTCAATCCTACTTTTACTCATTTTCTTCCCCTCCCTTATATTTTTATGAGTTTTGCTTATTTTTTTTTTTTAGTTTTATGTGTATTATCTTAACCGGCCGTCATGTTATATACGTTCTTTATAAATTTGTGACCAGTTTACAAAACAATACTAATTTTAAAAATGGGTTCTTTGGAAAACTTCTGCCACCCAGAGTCTTGCAGAAAATAATATTAGGACAAAAACATTCTTGGAGGCGACAAACTGGCTTGTGAGATTTATAAAGCTAAAGGTACGAGGTCTGTTGATCAACACTTTTTTGAAATATAGGCGACTGTATAGGGGAAAGTGTGTCAGGTGCCTCATGGAATAATTGCCAAGGAAATAAATTATGCAAATGTTGTCAATTATCACATCATTTGCATGATGATATCATGGCACATGTGACTTTATCTTGGCTTTTCTGCCCAGAAGCAATACTCTATATTCTTTCTTCACTGCGCTGTTAGTGTTTATTTGAGGTACATTCTAGTGAATCTCAAATTACAAGGGAGCTTCTGATTCAGTGCTTGGCTAAGAAATTGTTTCCAGCATCAAAGGGGGAATTCACAATTGATCCAATACCACCTCCACATCCTCCTCCTCTGTCACACCAGGTGTCTAGCTGTGGCTTCATAAGATAGACTGACAACTTCTCCAACATCCCACTGCTATATTAAACTGCTGAGTCAGACAAGGCTAATTGTTGTATTATGCCAGAATGCCTGAAGCTTAGCACACTGGTTGAATTCAACTATGACTTACTACAGCTTACAGTTTCCTCCCATAATTAGTTTGTTCAACCACAAGAAGACCAAATCATGACTTGGTGCAAGGTGAGTTTTTTTTAATAGAATGGAATGGAATGGAATGGAATGGAATGGAATGGAATGGAATGGAATAGAATAGAATAGAATAGAATAGAATAGAATAGAATAGAATAGAATAGAATAGAATAGAATTCTTTATTGGCCAAGTGTGATTGGACACACAAGGAACTTGTCTCTAGTGCATAAGCTCACACTGTACATATAAACACAGGTAATAGGTCATAAATCATAGTTACAATTATTAATCATAATTTACAAACAACAATTGATAAATCATAAGAAACCAAAAGGAGAGGATACCAGGAAAGATGAGAAGATGAGAAAAGACAAGAAATGAGACGGTGCTGTGGGAATTAAGTGTAAGTAATTCCACAGTGGGGGTGGGATATCTTTGTGTCTGGTTGTTTGGGTGTGCAATGCTGTATAGCACCGTCTTGAGGGGAGAAGTTGAAATAGATTATGTCCAGGATGTGAGGGGTCTGTAGATATTTTCTCAGCTCTCTTTCTGACCCGGGCAATATACATTGGCTGAGGAATTCTGGGAGCTGAAGTCCCCAAGTCATAAAAGGGCCTAGTTTGAAGACCCCTGCTCTAGAATTTGTGGTACTTTGGAAGAAAAGAACCAGGCGATGCAACCAAGACTAGGAAGAAGCAAACACTGGGGTGGAGCATTATCATGGCCACCATCTTTAATTTTTGACACGCCCTTTATTCAACAGGATGGGGCAGTCCAAGAATTTAGGGAGAATTCCTGGAGAAAGGAATTGTAGCTTTCTGTCTGTTTTCTCCCTCCCCACCCCCGTCAGCAATGACTACAGATTCATCCTCTTTGTCTAATGGTAGGGCCAACCTGGAAAATAACAGACGGGAAGAAAGGAAAGACAAATGAGATGTGGTAATCCTTCCTGCACCTCTGCTTCAGGCATAAGCATTACATGTTGACTCGACTTAAAGTTATACTCAAGCACTTAGCTTGGATTAGAGCTTCTCCTTTAATA